AATGATGCTTATAACGGCTCTCAAACACTTAATCCATTTTATTTTAAACACTATAGTTTACGGCATATTGCTTGTTATTTAAATGGTCAACAGTACCCGCATAAACCGTATACACCTGACTTTCAAAATGATAAATATATTAGAGAATACTTTAGTTTATTTGAAGTTAGTAATCAGCTGAGCCATACTACTTGTGACATTACAAAAGATGAATTTGCCGAAGGTTTTTCAATATTTGCATTTAATTTCATACCTGACCTATCAGATGGCGTTGCAAAAAGTGGTTATGTATCTCCATTACAAAGAGGTGGACTTAGAATTGAATTAAAATTTAATTACCCTTTAGCCGAACAAATAACTGCTTTAATATATTGTGAATACGATAGTTTAATTGAAATACAGAAAAACCGATTTGCTGTTAAAGACTTTTCATGAATACATTAGAAATAAATAAATATTTTCGTAGCTGTATCAAGTATTATGGCACCTATCCTAGAGATGAATTACCTAATACTATACCTAATAACAGTGGATTAATTGTAAATACAGATAAAGCTAATCAACCAGGAGAACATTGGGTTGCAATATATAAATATAATAACAGTGTAGTTTATTTTGATTCATTTGGCTTACCCCCACTACACAAAGAAATCATAAACTTTATAAAAGACAACAGTAGTAGTGGTTGGTTCTATAACACTATTAATTTTCAAAGTGTATACTCAACTACATGTGGAAAATATTGTGTATTTTTTCTATCAAATTATTTCAATGGCGCGAACTTTGATAACATTTGTAAAATATTTACTTTCAGTAGTGATATTAATGATAAGTTGGCAGATATGTTATACAGATGGCAGCTGTAGCTTATCACATTTGTATAAAGATATACGTCAGTATAGAGTGGTTTATAAACAAATGGAGAAACTATATGACGAAAAACTATTGATAGTTTTGAGTGACGCAAATCTACACGCGCCATATTTGGTTGAACCGTCAACATATTTTTCAAAGGAAATTAAAAAATACTTTATAGAAGAAGGCAAGCAATTAAATGATATAAAAGACTTGGAAGAGTTGCTAAAATTGCTAAACTACTTAAACTTTAGTAATTTTCGTACGGAAAGACATAATTTTTTAGTAAGTAATGGAATAAATTAATCAAATATGCGGTGTTATGGATGCACAGGGTTTCACTGTTGATGGCGTGTTTTATCCGCGGGAAGTATGTGTGTTATCACATACACTTAAACAGTGTGAACTGTGTGACACAGACCTTCGCTTTGTTGATATGGACCTTAAAGACCGTATAACTAATTTATATTTGGCTAACAATCTGTTTGGCTTTTCATTGAGAGCCCACAACACCGATATCACTCACAACTCATCTCTCGAACCTAATCAAGTGATATATATGATGTATCATAAAATTAAATCACACGATAAACCATATTTGGCCATAAAAAACCAACAATTGGCAATTATATTGGACTTATGGAAAATACCGTATATTAATCTCAATGAATACAAATGTCCCAACTATTCAAAACTTAAACAATTTTATGGTGGTCTCCCGTGTCATTTTCACAATAGAATTGTTCCCGATCGAAAACTCCTGCGCTGCGCTTCAAATAAATGCAATTTATTATGGAAATGGCTAAATAATTATTATCAATCACATTAATTTTTTTATTCAATAAATTTATTTATGTAATTACAATATTGTCTTTAATTAATTTAGTATAAGTATATATAATTAAATTATTTTTACAGTATTTATTCAATGGAGGTCCAAACATTGATACAGTAATTGTTTTGTCGGGGTAAGTCTCAGCTTTAAGTACCAATAAATCAAATAATCGTTGATTAAACCCGTATTCCATTAAAACGTATGTGGTTATATTTGGTTTCATTATTAGCGGCTTTAGATATTTGTCAACATTTAAATATATGTTTATACTTGTGTTGAGTATAACGGTTTCACAAATATCCATCATTTTTGTCTTAAATATATTTATACAAAACGGCTCTAGCATTCTGTGAGCAATAAATAATTTAAATTTTCTAACATAAAGACATTTGAATCCTGAGTTGACAAAATCAAACGGTGACAAGAAGTGTCCTTTTATGAAAAGCATTTTCAATGAGTACCGAACCATCTTATAATCGTCATACATCTCAATATTGTGTGATGAATTTAATGTAAACTGAATTTTATTTGGTGTAGTAGGCATAACATTGTACAGTTCTATGGCGTTGTAAAAGTCGACAAAATTCAATCTTAAATTAGTGATATTTTGATTATTTATAATTGACTTCCAATTTCCTTGACATAACTTTTGATCCACACTGAGAACTTTTAGTTGAGGTAGAGTCGCCAAATGGTTACATACAGTATTTCTATCAACTGATCCACCTACGTGTAATTCAATGGCTTTAGAACCGAATTTATTAATAAACTCAATAAACTGATTCATATTCTTGAAATTAATTGTGTTCATATAACGTATAGCTTTTATCCGTTCTGGAAAGTTTTGACGAAGTATCCCCCGAACATTCTCTATTGCTAAGCATTGAACGGCCGTATAAATATTAATTTGCTTCAAATGACGAAACGAATTAAAAAACGTCTCATTAAATCGATAAAACACATCAAATTCCAATAGTTTGATTTGCTTGAAATCTTGTGATACTTTTTGTAATGATTCTCGATAACCATCTGACCAAAGACTTATACTATTGTGGTCTACATCCCATTCATCATCAAACTCAGCAATTCTGAGTGTTTGTTGATTTGTAAATATCATTCGTTGCCATTGTTTACTAACAGTAAGTAAAGTAACTTTACTTTTTGCAGGTAAGTGTTTTATTATTAGTCCACACAAGTCGTCACCATAACGATCAAAACTATCGCGACCATACACTTTAGTCATTTTAAAGCAACTAAACACTTACTTGAAAAACACATTTGCTTTTATGACAGTGAAACTCAATAAAATAAACATTGATGAAATTTAAATCTCTTTATTTAATTATTAGTATACATTTTAAATATTTCATCATTAAGTATAATTATATTTTTGATCTCATATGACGTCAAACTAACACTAGCATATGTTAAGAGGCATTTTACAACAATAATGTTGTAAAAACCTTTATCATCTTTCTTGAACTTAATAGTCCTATCAATATCTCCAATGTCTTCAATATTGCCATCAATCCCTTTTGCTTTAATATCTTCAATTAGATGACGAAACTCGTCCACATTTAAGTTAACACCGCGTTTCGTATATTGTAATTTCTCATCTTCATTAGCAAAAGCCAGTCGTATATCCACACGCATTTGGTCTTCTGATTTACTCAATCGAATAACTTTTTTGAAATTAGATTTTTTATTTGTAATAATATGAGTGTAAACGTGCTCATAGTTAAAAACTCTTTTAGGCGTATCAACAATACTTGTAGACATTTTGATTGTTATTTGTATTGCTTTTGACTTTTACTTTTACAGTCTTATATATAATGCTACTTATATACTGTTATTTATTTTTAACTACTATATAAGACTAATTAATGTTGATGTAGTATATCTCTCATCAAGTATAATAGTACTATAATGAGCACTAAAATAATTCCCGGTTGTGATGGCTACGCTAAAGTCATTAAATTAGTTGCTGTTAAAAATAAAAATAGTGTAATACAATTAATTAAAATAACTCAGCATAGCCCTAGTTATAGACCATTATTGAGTGTTTGTCTAAAATTAGATCAATATTTATGGCTCGTGGGAAAACTAAAACAACGAAATAGTGGTTATCGTAATGAGAAAAATAATGAGCTATACATCACTAGAGACCCATATTTAAAACTGACAATACTTTATCAAAAACAACTGAAAATAGCTGCAATGATACTAACTAGAATGGATATTAAACACATAATTAAATTAAAACCTTGGATATGGAATAAATTTGTAGCTATTGAGTCAACGATTACACCTATTCAGGAAATAGTACCTGAAGAGTCAATGGACTTGGAATCAGAACCAATCACTATTGAGTTAACATAATAAATGCATATATCATTGTATTTATAACCAATAAAAATAAGTTTTAATTACATCAACATTTATTTACTTTGTATATAAATACAGTAGTTAACTTTTATTTTACCATTGAAAATGTCTCACACAGAAGTTTCTGGTTTTTTTCTAACTCTTAGTACTACTAATAATTTCAAAAGAGTAGTATCAGTAAAATGTGTTTTACATTTGAATTCAACACTTTTTTATATTATCATAACCGACCTAAAAGATGGTAAAATGTTTGATGATCTGCTGGTAATTCAATCCGACGACTTTTTTAATCTTATACGAGAAATTGTGTTTAAAGAGAAAAAAGTTGGTACCGTCAATGTGTCCTTTGGCTCACTTCAATTTGTTACAGACAATCACAACAATAGTGTATCAATTTTTCACCGCAACTACAGCAAAAATAATTTGGTGAATTTGCGATATAAAGAGCTGGAACTACTGTTTAACGAAAAAGACAATATTCTTAAACAAATTGACGACATCGCGGATAAAACATCAAAATTTGTCAATCATCAGCAAAATACACGATCGCTTCTTCCAACGCCACCTGGAATTAAAACTAAAAGCTATTTCGATGAAGTGTGGTCTTGGCCTGAAATTCCGGTTTCAACCAGCACAGGTATTGCGTCTACAGAAAACACTGGGAATGACGTATGTGGTATTCACCCTATGCCCATCAAACGTCCAACAAGTTTACCTCTTAGCAGTAGTCTTAATATTCTTATGAATAAAAATGTTAACAAATAATGATTTACAAATTACTAATGTATCTATGACTGCTAATTTGTTTAATTTTAATAAAGTATTGAATTTACGAAAAATTACAAATTGTTTGAATAATTGTGTGTATGATAATAAAAAATTTGTTCGCTTAATTGTGCGCTTAAGAAAACCAAAGGCAACAATTATGTTATATCAATCGGGAAAATTAATATGTATTGGGACTAATTCAGTTGATAACGGTAGAATAGCCATAAGAAGATTTGCGCGTATGATTCAAAAGCTCGGTTTTGATGTCCAACTAAACAATGTTACGGTAACTAATATGGTGGCTACTTTTGCACTTAACCGATCAATAAATCTGGCGGACTATGGATCATTTATTGGTATTCGGGCCTATTATCAACCTCAGAGGTTTCCATTATTGATCATTAACTACGGTGACAAGAAAAAAGCAAACATCTCCCGTACGGGTAAAGTTAATTTTACTGGTGTTAAATCATTATCTGAATTGAATGATTTATTTTATACATTTTATTTAGATTATTTAATTTATTAGTTTTTAAAAAATGTAAAATTTATTTATTTTTTGCATGTAAACAAACAAGTGTTTAGATGTAAACAAACCATTGAATAGATGTAAACAATCAAGTGTTTAGATGTAAACAAACCATTGAATAGATGTAAACAAACCAATGTTTACATGTAAACAAACCAATGTTTACATGTAAACAAACCATTGTATAAATGTAAATAAACCAATGTTTACATTATTTATTTATATGAAATCCTAATTGTATATTAAATTATTTATTAAATTATTTGAAATTTAATAAACTGAATTTAAATAAAATTAAATTCAACAAAATTAAATACAACTAAATTAAAATCAACAAAATTAAATTCAACGAAATTAAATACAACTAAATTAAAATCAACAAAATTAAATTCAACGAAATTAAATACAACTAAATTAAATTTAATTTAGTTGTATTTAATTAAATTTAATTCAATTATCGCGCGATGGTTATACCACGTGGTTATCGAAATGGTCACGTGGTACGTTAGATATTTTAAAAGGGGGGCGAAAAATTTTACGTTTTTTATGTAAGTACCCGAAATAGGGGGCGAAAATTTTTGGGTCGTAATTTATGTGAGTACCCGCGATAGGGGGCAAAAAATATTGCAACGTTTTATGTGTGAGACCCATTGAATTAATGGACGTCATTTATGCGCAGTACCATGTACATGTAAAGGTCAAGGGTCCAAAGGTCAATCAGCACCTTTATCTACTACTCATAATCAACAAAAGCATTCATCCAAACATAATAGTGACCAGTTTCGTGTGATTGTATTAAACTATATATAAATTTATTATTATTAAATATAATATAAATTATATAAAAATATTATTATTAAATATAATATAAATTAAATTAATATATGTTAAATTAAATATAATATAATATTAAATTATATAATATAATATAATATTAAATTATATAATATAATATAATATTAAATTATATAATATAATATAATATTAAATTATATAAAATAAATAATAATAATTATAATATTTTTATACATACATATAACTAAAATGTTTGTACAGTGTTGAATTTTGCCAATCAGGGTAATTTTTATTAAACACGTGCGCATAACCGGCCAATTGATACGATTCACGCGATACGTGCAAACGTTGATTATTTTCTCGGTTACGTAACAATCCCAGAGCACTGTTATGGGTCATCATTGCTACTATTGTTTGTTTTTGTTGGCTATCATATAATGTTTGACTTAACAAATCTACAACATCAGCTAACGTTGTATTAATATTATCCGATTTAGGTGTATATCTATCGTATCGATCAATTAGTTTTTGTTCAATTTCATTAGATCTTGCCTTTAAAATATAATTAAAAATATAAATAATTTTTTATAAATTTAAAAAAATATAAATTATTATAATTATACCATATAACTTTTATAGTTATAGTCACGCATAATAAAATAAATCAACAATTTTGGTCTATTTATAAGATCCTCATAACTATCAATGGTTTCAAATGGATTTGTCAAATAAATTGATAAAATTTCTTGATTTATGAAATTTGTTGTAAAAAATTTGCCGACAAATAGTGTACCAAATAGTAGATAGAAAAATAGATTTCTATTATTCATAATAAGTTTAACTTTTTTTAAAAAAATAAAATGTTTTATAGATGCATTTTGAAAAATTAAAATAAACATAGATTTATATAAAAATATAGAATTAGCATTTTATTAAAAAATAACTTACAGTCCATAAAAAATGCATTGCAAACCATCCATAATTGATTAGCAATTGTTGTGTTATTACTTTTACTAAATTTCATTAAATGTCAAATTAGATTTAAATCATTTTTAATAATCAATAAAAAAAACTAAAACAATTAAATGTCAATAATATTTGTTAATGTAATTTACTTTCTAGTTTTAATCTTATAGATTAATGTAATGATTAGGGTTGACAAAAACAGTCCCAACCAATACTATATTAATAATAAAATTTAATAATTAAAATAATTTTTAGATGTATTGTATTGTAATATATAAAGTATTCAAATTAAAAAATAATTGATTTACATATTTATCCAAAATATTTGCAATACCATAGAAATTATTAGTATTTGTTGTATAATAAATACTGCCAACAATTGCATAATTATATGTATTGTATGGACATATTAACTGAAAATCATTATCTAATAGATTATCATTTATTATTAGACTATACTCTTCAAGCAAAATATCGACTGTCTATAGAAAATCAAATGCATTTAATTTTTTAGTTGTTGTTTATTAAAACAATTTTTTTAATTATTAAATTAATATATAAAATATAATATATTATAATATTAATAATAATAATCAATATTTTAAACTAATTATGTGATTAATCTTAATTATATCTTTATAATTTATATTATGAACTACTTAAATTTAATATTATAAAAAACTTACTTTATTTTTTGAATGTTCAAGTGATATATTAAAATAATTATTATTGCTTTCAGTCATAATCATAGGTAATGTACTAAATAATTACAATAACAATAAAAAACATTTAATGTTAAATAAGAAAAATTGTATTATTTATGTCATTGTAATTAATATTATTATTATTACCCATATTTAGTTTGTTTAACCAATTCATATAATATGTGATAATGATGAGCGCATAGATATTTAATACCACTACTTGTTATCTAAAAAAATAATAATTTAATTTTAATTTCTAAAAAATAAATAATTAAAAAATAATAAGAAATAAAAACTCATTATATACTTATTTTTTCCCAATACAATTGTAATTAAAATAGTAGATTTAAAAAAAATTAAATATAAAAAAATTGAAACAAAATATCTAAAAATAATATTTACAAATAAGTTGTAATAGTAATAGTAATAGTAATAGTAATAGTAATAGTAATAGTAATAGTAATAGTAATAGTAATAGTAATAGTAATAGTAATAGTAATAGTAATAATTTTTATATAAAATAAATAATAATAATAGTAACAAAATTTTCATTATACATACATATAACTAAAATGTTTGTACAGGGTCGAATTTAATTTAATAAAAAATTAAATATAAAAAAATTGAAACAAAATATCTAAAAATAATATTTACAAATAAGTTGTTACTAAATGTAAAATTGCCCATTAGTTGACCATGATCAAATTGCATGTCAAATGTATACGGATCAGTTTGCAATCCTAGTGAAAAATCACAAACAAAATTTGGTGCCAAAGTTTCAGACATAATATTTTTTTAATTATGTTTTTGTTTTTTTAAATGTAATAATTAAAGTTTTAATACATTTAAAATTATAACTATTGTCTATATGCAAATAAATATAGTTCAATTCACTATTTTATTTAAGAGAAATTTTTTTTACTAATTTATAATAAAATAATTTTAATTTTTTATATTAAAATATTGGAATAAATTTTTTTAAAACTTATTGTTAGAATATTATAAATAAAATAATGCATATAATAACTTAGTTTACGGCTTATATACATAAATAAAATTGTTTATATACTGTAAAATTTTATGAAAATTATATTATTAAAAATAAATTATTTTAGTAATTTTAATTACTAAAAAAATTATTATTTTTTAAGGACAACAAATACTATATATGGCAGTCGTACTTAAAATATAGATTAATATAAAGTTTTATTATATTTAATAATACGATATCATATACTAAATAATTAATATCTTTTATATTGATTTTACAATTTATATTCTACTTATTATAATAATATTATAAAAAAAACAATAAGTATTAGTAAAATACTGTAATAAAAAAAGTATAGTAAAATAATAATATATTTATAGTAAAGTACTGTATTTTTTATTATAATATATAAATTTTTAAATATAATAGATAACATCAAAATACACTTAAATTTTGATAATATTAATATATAACACACATTATATATATATATATATATATATGTGTGTGTGTGTATTAATACATATATACATATATAAATATACAGTATACAATATGTACATAATATATAAGCAGTATTCATAATAACTCTCAATAATACACTTATAATAAATTATATTTTAAAAAGCAAAATTAATTAAGTATTTTATTAAATATAATATAATTGTATGTGTGTTTGTATATTGTATATATACAGTATATATATACAGGGTTGTTTTTATTGTACAAGTGAAGTAATTTGCTTATAATTTCAAAACTAAACAAGATATTTTAATAAAACAAAAACTAATGTGTAAAGGAGATGTGGGAAATTTACTTAAGCCTGTTTTTTAAAAATTATATAGCGTAGTTTTAATGTAATTACACTAGATACAAAAATATTGCTCATAGGCCACACCGTAATACTACCAAGTTACTATAATATACATTTTGTAGACAATAGATAAAAGTAATAATTAATAATTTAACAATTGATTTAGGCACATTTAAATAAAATTAAGGTATTTTTCTTTAGTTTAAAAAATTGATATTTTTATTTTTAAGCAATTTTTATTGCGTAAATCGTGTTTTTCATTGATAATATTAGACTTCAATTAATTTTTACATCAATATTATATCAATAAAAAATATTTCTTTTAATTAGTTGATCAAAAAAATAAAGAAAAAATATCATTTTATGCATACAAATTACTAGAGATTTTGAATTTTAATTTCTCATTATTTTAATCCTTAAGTAAAAAATTTTGAAATTATTTCAAATAATTTTCCCACATCTCATTTACAACTTAATTTTTGTTTTATTAAAGTATCTTGTTTAGTTTTGAAGTTATAAGCAAATTACTTCACTTGTACAATTAAAACAACCCTGTATGAATGTGTATGTAATTGCGAAAAATACTATTATTTAAATATAATAGCAATTAATCAAATTATTTCTATTATATGGATATATAATGTTATTTAGAAAAACATTTCAGATTATTATTCAATTGTTTGTATATGAAATCTATTAAATTGGAAACTAATTGAATTAACATTATAATTATCAGTGTCAATTTAAAGTTTAAATTTAAGTAATATCATGTATACAGTTAACTTTAAAATAAGCAAGGTAACTTAGCATACAGTTATCTAATATTAGTTAAATTATATACAATAGCTTGCTAAAGCATTACATAATATTAGTCAAATTTAAACACTTAATTTGTATAAACTGTATTATATAATGATATTAAGAAAATAGTTTATTAAACTGTATATATATGAAATTTATTACAATGTAAACTAATTGAATTAACTTGAAAAATATGAATAACATTAGTCTAGAAATTTTATGACTACATTCAATGACAAACATTGAAATACTAGTGGCCAGTAGTGTTAGATATGGTCCCAGTGCTACACGCATACTGTCCAATGGCATCTGATTGTCGTATGGATCGATAGTTTTGTTGAATTGAATTTTTTGTTTTTGAAAATATTTTATTAGATAATCAACAAAAGCATTCTTCCAAACATAATAGTGACCAGTTTCGTGTGATTGTATTAAACTATTTAAATTTATATATATATAGTAATAGTAATAGTAATAGTAATAGTAATAGTAATAGTAATAGTAATAGTAATAGTAATAGTAATAGTAATAGTAATAGTAATAGTAATAGTAATAGTAATAGTAATAGTAATAGTAATAGTAATAGTAATAGTAATAGTAATAGTAATAGTAATAGTAATAGTAATAGTAATAATTTTTATATAAAATAAATAATAATAATAGTAACAAAATTTTCATTATACATACATATAACTAAAATGTTTGTACAGGGTCGAATTTTGCCAGTCGGGGAAATTTT